GAACTCTGCTCGTGATTATTTCAATCCAGTGACCCACTGTTTGATGTAAGCATTGGTTGAGCTTGGGACTGGGCTTGCATGGCGGCATGTCTTAACTAAATAGTCTTCTGACACTTACTATCAAGGCATAAATATCAACCTGTCTTCCTGGTTGGAAATACTGTCTAGGATGTAAGTGAGAAGGTCACTCGAAGTGCAACCAAAACTTAAAAATTGCTTGACACATGTATACTGAAATGACAAATTGAAGACTGTATTGAGTTCCTGTGGGAATGACTGCAGGAAGTACATTTCACAAAAATCTAGTATGAGAAAGAAAGAAATATTTGAACCTATTTGAATCCTTTCATGACTTCAGGATGTCTGAGCGCTTTACAGCCAGTGGAGTACACTCATGTTTTAATGGATTAAAGAATAGCAGCTAATTTATCTAACAGTAATTATTTAAATGTCCAGATAATCTGTTCTTTTTAAAAGAAAATTAGTTGCGAGATAAATATTAATCTGGACACGAGGGGAAACATTTTGCTTTTGGTTTGAACCAAAAAACTATGGAATGTCTAATTGACATGGCAGATTGGTTTAGCATCTCATCTGGAAGGGGACACCTGAACCTTGCACTGCTCCCTCAGCACAGAACTGCAGTGTCAGCTTAGATTTTGAAGTTACAACCTGACTCAGGCTGCTTTGATCTTACTACCTTTAAGAGGTTGATCTGTGTTTAAAAATAGTGCCATGTGATATCCACTTCCTAGTCAAACCAAAAATTATTGTACATTTTACCTCTCAGATTTCTGTTTTTAATGTGCTACTCTGTGAATACCTTTTATTAGCAATTGCATATATCTTTACGGTATTAAAATATGCTGGTGTACAATGTATCCCACTAAGGTAGGAAGGAAAGGAAACAAAATAGAATGAAAATGGCTTTAAAAAGACACAATATTCCTAAAATGAATGTGGAGAGGTGGTTTTTGATTCAATAAAGAACAAAGAAAATTACAGCACAGGAACAGGCCCTTCAGCCCTCCAAGCCTGCACCGATCCAGATCCTCTATCTAAACCTGTCGCCTATTTTCCAAGGATCTGTATCCCTCTGCTCCCTGCCCATTCATGTATCTGTCTAGATACATCTTAAATGATGCTATTGTGCCCGCCTCTACCACCTCCGCTGGCAACATGTTCCAGGCACTCACCACCCTCTGTGTAAAGAACTTGCCATGCATATCTCCCTTAAACTTTTCCCCTCTCACCTTGAAAGCGAGACCCCTAGTAATTCCCACTCTGGGAAAAAGCTTCTTGCTATCCACCCTGTGAACACCTCTCATGATTTTGTAGACCTCAATCAGGTCCCCCCTCAACCTCCATCTTTCTAATGTAAATAATCTTAATCTACTCAACCTCTCTTCATAGCTGGCGCCCTCCATACCAGGCAACATCCTCGTGAACCTCCTCTGCACCCTGTCTAAAGCATCCACATCCTTTTGGTAATGTGGCGACCAGAACTATACGCAGTATTCCAAATGTGGTCGAACCAAAGTCCGACACAACTGTAACATGACCTGCCAACTCTTGTACTCAATACCCCGTCCGATGAATGAAAGCATGCTGTATGCCTTCTTGACCACTCTTATCGACCTGCGTTGCCACCTTCAGGGTACAATGGACCTGAACACCCAGATCTCTCTGTGCATCAGTTTTCCCCAGGGCTTTTCCATTTACCACATAGTTCGCTCTTGAATTGGATCTTCCAAAATGCATCACCTGGCATTTGCCTGGATTGCACTTCTAAAGAAAAGAGCCATACCAGCAGATCTGCTGTTCAGCAGTTTAAAAGTAATCAAAGCCTTCAGTTTATTTCTTAGAGTTCAGTGAGAAAAGTCAATGAGTTTGTGCTTTGTGCCTCAGGGAGAGACTAACAGAGAGAATCACATCTGGTGAATGTACAGAAAATCACTGAAAGGAAATGTTTGCAAATTTGTTAGTTCAATAAGAAAGTTGAGATTGAAGATAGGAGTGATACTTCATGGGGTTGAGTGTCTTTATAGGATACTGTTGGGGAAATATAGGTTGAATCTTTTTTGCTTTTTATGGTGAGATCTTTTCAGTCTGTCTTTTATATAAATAACAATTTTAATTTCCCTTTCTTAGGACCCTCGCTGATTTTTTTTTTTCATAATTTTATTATTTTATCAGTTTTGCTCTGGAGCTGAGAACTGATAAACTTTGGACTGTGGTCGGAAGAGTTGTAGAGCTGTATGGCATGGAAACGGATCCTTTCAGTCCAACTCGTCCGTGCTGACCAGATATCCTAAATTAATCTAGTCCCATTTGCCAGCATTTGGCGCATATCCTTCTAAACCCTTCCTAATCATATACCCATCCAGATGTCTTTTAAATGTTGTAATTGTACCAGCCTCCACCACTTTCTCTGGCGGCTCATTCCATACAGAAGCTTGTGACTTAAAAAAAATAGAACAAGTTAGTTTTTGTTTGTGAGGCCAGGCCTGGAAGTTAACTGCGGACTGATCAAAAGGTTCTACAGAGGCTTTGACACCGGTGGCTGGTGGAGAGCAGTATGTTTAAACAGATAGCAGATGTTGGTTATTAATGAGGTCAGTACCTGGGATTTAGTTCCAGTAAGTCTGGGAGAGATTGTGTGCTTTAGCAGATAGCAGATGTTAAATGATAACTGGGACCTTATGGGAAGACAATCAGTCTGACAGGGAGAAGCCAGAGTTTTCAATTGCATTTTAGATTGTGTTTGCTGGAGAAGAATTTGGCTGTTGTTGCTGCAGCACAAAGATTTGAAAGCTCCCTGCCTAACTTTTTGTTATCAGCTATTGGAAGTTCAGAGAATAAAAGCTAAGTCATGAGTATTACCACTTGGTGTCATGGTGCAATGATAACAACCTCTCTCAATGTCAGCAAAAGGAAAGAACTGATCATTGACTTCAGTAAGAAAGGAGGAGGACATGCGCCCATGTAGATCAACAGAGCTGAAGTGAAGAGGGTTGAGAGTGTGTCACGTTCCTAGGAGTGACAATAACCTACAATCTGTCCTAGACTTCCCACATAGATGTGACGGTCAAGGAGGCACAGCAACGCCTCCTCTTCTTCCTCAGGTGGCTTAGGAAATTCAGCATGTTCATAAGGTCCCTCACCAACTTTTACAGATGCACCGTTGAAAGCATACTATCTGGGTGCATAATGGTCTGGTGTGGCAACTGCTTAGCCCGGGACCGTAAGAAACTACAGAAAATTGTGTGTATAGCCCAGACCATCACAGAAGCCAACCTCCCATCCATGGACTCCATTTACACTTCTCGCCGCCGTGGAAAGGCCACCAACATCAAAGACGCATCCCACCCCGATAATGCTCTCTTCCAAGCTCTTCTGTCAGGCAGAAGATACAGAAGCTTGAACGCACACACCAAGAGGTTTAAGAACAGCTTCTTCCCTGCTGTTATTAGACTGCTGAATGGATCTCTCTAACTTCAAATAATGTTGATCTTGCTAATGTTCATCTTGCTTTGTGCATCTCCTGTGCAGCCATAATCTTGTATGCCTTGCTGCATCTCAGCACGGTATGATCTGTATGTCCTTGTTTGCTATGATCTGCCTGTACTGCTTGCAAAATAAAGATTTTCACTGCACTTAGGTATATGTGACTACAATAAATCAAATCAAATCAAATTCCTCTGAGTGAGTTGAAAAGGTGACCCTATCAACAGCTTCAGAAAATCAACGAAGAGACAATCATCTATGTCTGTGGAACAATGCATTGTGAAAAACCACTTAAGCAGTCTGACCAGTTTTATCAATTTCTTTTATTTATTCCATAGTCCTTTTTGTGTGATTGGGGGTGAAAATTAAGGTTATTGGGTTTAAACATAGGTATCATTTAGATTACTTTGTTTAATGTTGTTCTACTAAAGTTACTGCATTGTTCATAAATTGCTAAGTCTTTTGTTTAAGCTACAAACCAGCGCCAAGAATTGGTTATCCAAAAAAGTCTGGTTAGGAACTATTGGGTTTAATTTTGAGGGTCTTTGAAGGTTTTAATCTTAACCATAGTGTGAATACAGAAAAGCTGATTTAGTTTGGCTGTTGGTCCTTGTATTGTAATGCTTCTGTGTAATAAACTTTTGTCAATAGTATGTTGGCAGCCTCATGTGAGTATATCCAGTGGCTGACCACCACAGTAATCAAATTGCAAAAATAAAACTTGTCAAGCCAGGTTTCAGTCTGAAATCTGACTTATTCAGTATTACCATCAACTGGGATCATAACATTGGGGATTTGAGTTGTTTAACTCCATGTTACTTTGTGGATACATCGAGCCAACTAGTTTCCAAAAAAAACTAAATTATGTTCCTCCTGCAAGCATAGACTGGTTTTTACTTTACTCTTGTCTACTTGTAATTGGACAGGTTTGGAATAGGAACCAAAATGCTACCTTTTAAAATTGACTATAATGAAATATCAGCAGTATTTAATATTTTTAAGAAATTGCCAAAGATTTTCTGGAAAAATCTTTTGAAAATTCCTATCCCTTGCTCACCCCCTTCCTAAGAGACACTATTTTTGTATAATCAATGTTCATGCAGATACAGCATCTTCAGGGCATTTTGTTCTGATTGTGGCTTTAGTCTGCTCCATTGCCTTTAAAGTTTTTAATCTGAAGTCTAAACATATCATTAGAACTTGTTGTCTGGAAAGTTTTTAGATTTTGTCCCACTTTGATGCAAGTGCTTTGGAAATCTACAGATCCAAAGAATTTCCTGTTCTACCTGATGACCTGGTCTTCCCCACACTCCCACCTCCCAGTTTGGATAACTCTGTTATTTGTATTGTTTGTATTTCTTTAAGGAAAACAAAGCCACCTGTTGATTTAGATATAGGTGTTGTTCTTAGATTGTTCCAGTTACTCAATGGAAGATAATTCTGACACTTTTCTTCTTTTAAACACTAGTTGACTCTTCTGTGTTCCCCTGCAGCTGGATGGTGCTATGGGATGGATGAAGCAGAGCAGAATAAATACGTGTTACAGCTTAAGGATGTGTTTGACAGCTGTGACACTACAGGGACTGGATACCTGGACAGAGAGGAACTGAGTGACCTGTGCCAAAAGCTCCACCTGGAAGCTCAGGTCCCTCTTCTACTGCAGACACTTTTGGGAGGCAACTATCACGGCCGGGTAAGTCCCACCTGTGGATATGTGGAGGTAACATTATTTGTCGCATTTAAGTATGTGCATATGTTGCAACAAGTTCCTACAGCTGCTGAGTGTGTAATGAAGCCTTTGTGACTTGCATGCAAAATCCAACTTTGAAGTATTAATTTCTAGAACAGAGGTGCTCTGTGCCTGTGGTAGGAAAGGAGAGTTATAGAAATGTAGAATCCATTGGCAGAAGAGGAGATTTTTGGTCCATCTTCTTTGAAAGATCAATCTTCCCTTCAATGTTCATCACACCCATGAAAATACTTCCTTCTTGTGTACAATGGCTAATTTTGTTTCAATCCCAGTTACTATTGAATGTGCTGCCTGCCATCTTTCAGGCAGTCTAAGCAAGATCATAACAAATGCACGTGTTTAGAAAAAGTCATCTCATTTCCCCTCTGGTTCTTTTCTCAATTGTCTGGTTATGGATCCTCCTTTCAGAGGAGACAATTTCTCCTCATTTGCTCCCATTCTTCTGCGGCACTCCCTCCGGGTCGAGGATGACGCTTCCATGGTGGCGGGGTGGGTTCTGCAGTGGTTGAACAGTTGAACCTCAGACTCCACTGCGGGTGGGAGGATGGGATGCTATGGATTCTACACGATGTTTCTACTTGTTCCCACTCGATGACACTCGAAGTGGTTGGTGCCTCCATGGATGCTGCTTCTCCAGTTTGTTTTCTAGGGCAAGCGGATTCCCATTTGACTTTCAGAATGCCCTATAGCATTTCCTCTGCGCGCGCCTAGTGATTGCTTACCGTTATGGAGTTTGGAGTTGAGAAATTGTTGAGAAAATCTTGTGTTGGGTGCACGGACAGTGTGGCCTACCGACATGGCTGGCTGTGTGTGACGAGTGCCAGGATATTGGTCTGGGAGAGGTGCTCACATTGGTACATTTATACTGCCAGTGGATTTGCAGGACTTTGCGAAGGCAGCTCTCGTAATGACCCTCCAGGGATTTGAGGTGTCTGTTGTACATGGTCCATGCTTCTGATCCATACAAGAGGGTGGGATCCACGGCTGCTTTGCAGACCATTAGCTTGGTGCTGGGTTTAAGGTCCCAGACTTCAAGTGCATTCTGTTCCTCAGACATCTGAAGGCTGCACTGGCACGTTAGAGCTGATGATAGATTTCATCATCAATGTCTGCTCGCACCAAGAGGAAGGGGCCTCCCGAGGTATGGGAAATGATCTATATTGTCCACGGGCTTGTGTGGATTTTGGTGATCAAAGAGTTGTGTGGCAGAAGCGGGCTGGTGGAGAATCTTTGCGTTCTAGTTGTTTAGTCTGAGGCCCGTACTGTCATATATCTCAGCGAATATTGCCGAGTTTCTGTACGTGCAGGTGTTTAATGTACATAAAAATTTGGATAGCAACATGCAGAATCACTAAAGCTAGTTGGCTGATGGACAGAAGAAAAATTCAAGGGTCGATGGGACATTGACCTTTATCTCAAAAGGGCTGGAAGTTAGTTACAGCTGTATGGAACTCTGATTAGAACCCCACCTGGTGTATACATTCAGTTCTGAATACAACATTTATTGATCAGAATGAAACCCTAGCTAACAATGTTTAATAATGAGAACAACTTGTATTCCCTTGATTTTAGAAACCTAAGGGGTGATCTAATTGATGAGTTTAGCATGAATAAGCAATTGATTGGGCTGCTAGAGAGAAACTATTTCATTGGAAAAGAAGAGGTCCAGAACACTGGTCTATAACCTTAAAATTTGAGTTAGGCTGATGTCAGGGAGCATTTTTTTCACACACAAACCAGTGTGAAACTCTCTTCTCAAAAAACCTGCTTGACTAATGGAAAAGTTCGAAACTGACATTATAATTATTTTAAAAATAAGGACGTTAAGGATTATAGGAGCAAGGTGAGAGTAGATTGAGGTATGTCAGGCTCGAGGGGTCTATTGCCTGCTATTATGGTCCAAATATCCTCCGCTACTTGTTGAAATAGTCACCATTCATCTGTGAGTCTTAACTGTAGGTGTTGGCATGGTATTTGGGCAACACACACATGAGTGACTGGGTGCAATTTAAACTAATTGACATTGATTTTTGTGATCAGTACATAGCTCTATTATCACTGTGTTACACAACTACCAGGATGACAAAAGGTAATGTGTTGCAGTCACCATGTGCTGTGTCTCAAATTACTCCTATACTGATCCCAAAAAGGTTTATTTCAAAAAATAATATTTAGGCAGTCAGCAGAGAGGCTGATTCTGTTGACGGATGGAGGGAAACCACCTGCAAAGGGTAAAGAAAGACCAATTAATGTTTGGTCCAGAGACATGCTGTTGAGGTGATAGGAAGAAAAGAGAACGGATCCTGTTGTGACATTTCAAAATAAAGGAAAAAGAAGTTTTAATATAAAACACCGGTGTAGGACAACAAGACAAGGAGAGAATCTGGTAATTTCTGTATATGGTGAAGTCAGTAGTAAATTGGTCATTATATTCTTCCAAGAAGTAATTGATATTATTGAAAATTTTAGGTAAATTTTGAGGAGTTTAAAGAAGGATTTGTTGCTGTGTTATCTACCAGTATTGACCTTGGTAATTCAGAAGATGAGAGCAGTTATTTAGAACTAGGTAAGTACACCTCCATTACATTTGTTTTTGTTTAATTTGCCGTCAAGATAATGCTGGATCTGTTTTTCCATCATTTGATTTAGAGAAACATTGTAATAATTTGTTGGTGTGGCATATATAAATGTCCTGAAACTGAACATCTAAGAAGATAAGAAATGGGAGATGACCAAACTCCTCCTCAATTCAGGGTGATCTTGGCTGATCTTGGCTTAAACTCCACTTTCCCACCTACTCCGACTGATTCCTTGAGAAATGAAAAATCTGACAATCTTGGCCTTAAATATATCCCAGGATGGTGCTTTCATAACTCTGATAACAAGAAGTCCAAAGATTCAGAACACTTTTGTGTGAAGAAATTCTCCCGGCCTCAGACCTGAATGATTAGTGCCATTATGGTTCAAGTGGTTCCCTTTTTGTTCCAGATACCTCAGCAACAATATCTCAGTCTCTACGGAAGGGTCTGTTCTGAGGAAGGGTCACCGGACCCGAAACGTTAACTCTGTTTTCTCCTCCACAGATGCTGCCAGACCTGCTGAGCTTTCAGCAACTTTGTTTTTGTTGCCTCAGTCTCTAAGACAGCAGCAATTCGTCCAAAGGAAGAAGAAGCATAATGTGCGGAGGATGAGGCAAGGAAGTCAGGGACAGCATAAAAGCAAAAGTAAAAGCATACAATATGGTGAAGATTAGCGGGAAGATGGAGGATTGGGAAGCCTTTAAAAACCAGCAGAGGACAACTGAAAAAGCGATAATGGGGAGGAAGATGAAATATGAGGGTAAGCTAGTCAGTAATATAAAAGAAGATTGCAAGAGTTTTTGTTTTAGAGACACAGGAGGTAAAAGAGAAGCAGGAGTGGACATTGGACTGCTGGAAAATGAGACTGAAGAAGTAGTAATGAGGAACAAAGAAGTGGCGGTGGAGCTGAATAGGTACTTTGTACCATTCTTCATGATGGAAGACATCAGTAGGAAAACCAAACTTCAAGGGTCAAGGGACAGAGGTGGGTGTAGTGATCATCTGTAAAGAGAAGGTGCTGGGGAAACTGAAAGGTCCAAAGGTAGATGACTCACCCGGACTAGATGGACTATACCCCAGGGTTCTGGAGGAGACACCTGAGGAGATTGTGGAGGCATTGGTGGTGAACATTAAGGAATCACTGGAGTCAGGGATGGTCCCAGAGGACTGGGAAATAGCTCGTGTCACATCCCTGTTTAAGAAGGGAGGGAGGTAGAAAATGGGAAACTATAGGCTGGGTAACCTGCCCTCCGTTGTTGTTATGATTTTAGAGTCCATTATAAAGGCTGAGATTGCAGAGTATTTGGAAGTACATGGTAAAATAGTGCTGAGTTAGCATAACCTTTGTCACAGGGAATTCATGCCGAACAAATCTGTTAGAATTCTTTGAGGGGGTAATGAGCATGTTAGACGAAGGAGAGCCAATGGACATGATCCATTTGAATTTCCAGAAGGCAAGTTGCTGCACAGGAGGCTGCTAAATAAGATTAGAGCCGATGGTGTTAGGGCCAGGTACCACCATGAATAAAGGATTAGCTGACTGGCAGAAGTCAGAGGGTAGAGATAAAGAGGTCTTTTTAGGATGGCAGCCAATGACTAGTGGAGTTCTGCAGGGTCAATGTTGGGAGCACAACTATTCACGTTCTACGTTAATGATCTGGACAAAGGAACTGAAGACATTGTTGCTAAGTTCGTGGATGACACAAAGATAGGTGGAGGGACACGTAGTGTTGAGGAAGTGGGGAGGCAGCAGAAGGGCTTGGACAGGTTAGGAGAGTGGGAAAAGAAGTGGCATATGGAATGAAATGTGGGAAAGAGCGAGGTCATGCACTTTGGTAAGAAAAGTAGAGGTGTAGACTATTTTCTAAATGGGCAAAGGTTTCAGAAATCTGAAGCACAAAGTAACCTAGGAATCCTAGTTCAGAATCTCTTAAGGTTGATGTGCAGGTTCAGTTGGCAGTTAGGAAGGCAAGTGCAAAGTTAGCATTCTTTTTGAGAGGGCTAGAATACAAGAGCAGAGATGTACTGCTCAGGCTGTATAAGGCTCTGGTCAGACCGCTTTTGGAATATTGAGCGCAGTTTTGGGCCCTGTATCTAAGGAAGGATGTGCTGGCCTTGGAGAGGGTTCGGAGGAGGTTTACAAGAATGATCCTTGGGCTGAAGGGCTTGTCATATGAGGAGCTGTTGAAGACTTTGGGTCTTTACTCAGTGAAGTTTAGAAGGAAGAGGGGGCATCTCATTAAAACTTACAGAATACTGAGAGGGTTGGATAGAGTCGACGTGGAGCAGATGCTTCCACTAGTAGGAGGCACTAGGCTCAATGATGGGATCACCCTTTAGAACTGAAGAGGAGGAATTTCTTTAGTCAGAGGGTGATGAATCTTTAAAACAGAGATAGGTGGGTTCTTGATTAGGAAGGGGATGTATCATTATGGGGAGAAGAGAGGAGAATGGGTTGAGAAACGTATCAGCCATGATTGAATGGTGGGGCAGACTCAATGGGCTTAGTGGCCAAATTATGCTCCTATGTCTCAGGCCTCACATTCTTCTAAAATGCAAAAAAAAAATCCACTTTTACTCAAGCTCTCAAAAAAAATCTGCTTTTCCATTCTTATGACAAATTGAATAATACTTCCCCTCATTCTATTCCATCTGGCGTCTTCTTGCAAATTCACTGTCTGTAACCTGTTTATAATTATTTGTCCACTTTACAGCTTGTCTACCCATCTAGTTTTTCAATTTTCAGCGAATGTAGATACATTACTCTCTGTCTCTTCATCCAAGACATCGAATCATAGAGGTGTACAGCATGGAAACAGAACCTTCAGTCCAACTTGTTCATGCTGACCAGAAATTTTACATTAATCTAGTCCAGTTTGCCAGCATATGACCCATATACCTCTGAACCCTTCCTATTCATATACCCATCCAGATGACTTTTAAATGTTGTAATTGTACCAGCCTCCACCATCTCCACTGGCAGCTCATTCCATACACGCACCACTCTCTGCATGAAAAAGTTGCCCCTTGGGTCTCTTTTAAATCTTTTCCCCTCTCACCTTAAACCTATCTTGTCTAGTTTTGGACTCTCCTACCCTGGGGAAGACCTTGACTATTCACTCTATCCATGTCCCTCATGATTTTAAAAACTTCTATAAGGTCACCCCTCAGGCTCCGATGCTCCAGGGAAAGTAGCCTATCCCTATAGCTCAAACCCTCTAATCCTGGCAACATCCTTGTAAGTCTTTTCTAAATCCTTTCAATTTAACAATATCTTTCCTATAGCAGGAAGTCCAGAATTGAATGCAGTACTCCAAAAGTGGCTGAACCAATGTCCCGTACAACTGCAACATGACCTTCCAACTCCTATACTCTGTGCACTCACCAATAAAGGCAACCGGACCAAATGCCTTCTTCACTATCCTGTCCACCTCTGACTCTACTTTCAAGGAACTATGAACCTGCACCCCAAGGTCTCTTTGTTCAGCAACACTCCCCAGGACGTTACCAGTAGGTGTAATAGTCCTGCCCTGATTTGCCTTTTCAAAATATAGCACCCCACGTTTATCTAAATTAAACTCCATCTGCCACTCATTGGGCCATCTGATCAAGGTCCCATTGTGCTCTGAGGTAACCTTCTTTGCTATCCACTACACCACCACTGGTCACAGGCCTCCAGTCCAAAATGCACCCTCCACCACCACCCTGTCTCATACTCGAGCCAATTTTGTGTCGAAGTGGCTGGTTCTCCCTGTATTCCATGTGATCTAACCTTGCTGCCCAGTCTACTGAACCTTATCGAATGCCTTACTGAAATCCATATAGACAATTGCCTTTATCAATCCTCTTCATTACTTCTTCCAAAAAAATCAAGTTAGTGAGACACGATTTCCCACGCACAAAGCCATGTTGACTATCCCTAATCAGTCCTTGTCATTCTAAATACATGTCAATCCTGTCCCTCAGAATCCCCTCCAACAACTTAACCAGCACTGATGTCAGACTCACAGGTCTATAGTTCCATGGCTTTTCCTTCCCATCTTTCTTAAATGGCACCATGTTAGCCAACCTCCAGTCTTCCAACACCTCACCAGTGGCTAGCGATGATACAAATATCTCAGCAAGGAGCCTAGCAATCACTTCTCCAGCTTCCCACAACGTTCTAGGGTATGCCTGATCAGGTCTCAGGGTTTTATCCACCTTTATGCATTTTAAGATTTCCAGCACCACCTCTTCTGTAATATCGACACTTTTCAAGATATCACTATTTATTTCCTCAAGTTCCCTAGCTTCCATATCCTTCTCCACAGTAAACACTGATGTAAAATACTCGCTTAGTAGCTCCTCCATCTCCAGTGGTTCCACACATATGTGGCCTTGCTGATCTTTAAGGGCCCTATTCTCTCCCTAGTTACTTTTTTGTCCTTAATGTATTTGTAGAATCCCTTTGGATTCTCCTTAACTCTATCTGCCATAGTTATCTCATGTCCCAGTTTTGCTCTCTTGATTTTCCTCTTGAGTATAGTGCTGCTGCCCTTGTAACTCTTCTCGAGATTCACTCGACCCCCTGCTGTATACACCTGACATATGCTTCCTTCTTTTTCTTGTCTAGAGCCTCAATTTTTCCAGTCATTCAGCATTCCCTACACCTACCAGCCTTGCCCTTCACATTAACAGGACCATATTGTCTCTGGACACTCGTTATCTTGTTTTTGAAGGCTTCCCATTTTCCAGCCATCCCTTTACCTGCAGATATCCGCCCCCTAATCAACTTTTGAAAGGTCTTGCCTAATACTTGACATCCTCCAAATTTAGAACTTTAACTTTGAGATCCGGTCTATCCTTTTCCATCACTATCTTAAAACTAATAGAATTATGATCACTGGTTCTAAAGTGCTCCAATATCTAAAGCCCCAACACTGGTCCTTTCAACACTCCAACTGGAAAATGTCAACTTAAAAATGCCTAAATATCCCTACCGTCTGCT